GGAAAAAAAAAAAAAAAAAAAAAAAAAAGCAATAACAAAATCCTGCTGTTTGCTCAGATGGAGAAGTAATGCACAATTTTGAGCCGAGAAATTACATAATCTGAGCAAAGGTATTTATAGTGGCGATCTGTCGGTTACGACACTGATTTTTCTTCTTTTTGTTTATATTTTTAAAAATTTTACAAGGCATATATACTTTGTCATGGTATTTTTAATCAAATAAAAAATTAAAATGCAATTGGATATATTCCTTTTGTATTTATATCATAGGTTCTAGTAAATAAAATTTTAGCAGAAAAAAAGTCTAGGGTTAGTGAACTTAGAGCCTGTAGGTTAAATCTGCCTACCATTTCATTATTTATTTGTATGACTAATAAGCTAAGAATTTTACATGTTTTTACATTTTAATTTTCTTTTTTATATTTTTTACTGGTTAAAAAACAGAATATTTTTTCATGACAAATGAAAATTTTATGAAATTCAAATTTTAGTGTCAATAAATAAAGCTTTATAGACACAGCCAGGCTCACATATTGTCCTCGGTTGCTTTGGTTCTATAACAGCTCATGTTACAAAGGTTGACAGTTGTGTCAGAAACCCTATCTCGCTCTGGGCCCTGTAGAGGAAGCTTGCCAATCCCTGAAACAGAACAAAAACACTAAGATGGAGTAGATTCACTAAATTTAAAACAGAACTAGACTTGCCTGTACCCTAGGAAAAGCAATATCATGCCCAGCACACTTGTGAGAGGGGCAGACAAAACAGAGGTCTCAAACCCTGATACATGGATGGCACCACTTTGTGGGACACTTTGGTAAAATCTAGCAAGGTTAAGGATAAGCGTGTCTGGTAATTCTACTTCTAGGTTTACACAGCTTGAAAACTCTCACACGAGGAAAGATTTACAAAATGTATATTACAACAATGCCTGGAGGAGCTGGCACAGCTAAGAGCTTAGTAAAGTGCCTAACATATAGCAAGTACTTGATAAATGTTAGCTATATTCATCATAAAGTATTATTTTACTATTATTAACCTAAAAATTTACTTCTACTGAGAAATAGATGCATAAATTATTATTTAATCATATAATCTAATATTAGATAGCAATAAAAATAATTTATTTTATATGCATTAGAATGGACAAATCACAAAAGCATAGTTTTGGCTGGTAAAACTAAATTTTAAAAATATATGAAAAATCAATATACTATATTGTTTTTATTTGTATATATGTGGTAAAATATAAAAATGTGGACAGGAAGTTACTTATATAACATCTGCTGGCTAGTGATTAACTCTAGAGAGAGAAGGAAGATAATAGAAAGAGGTATTTTTCTTTAATTTCAAAATTTGAAATTTGAAATGCTTCTATAAAATTTTCTTTCTTAAAAAAAAGGTATGAAGCAAGTATAAAACACAGTGTTACTTTGGTTTGGTTCATGAACTTAATTCTTTTTACAATTCTGGTCACAAACTGAATTGAACAAGAACCAAATCAAATTCAATGCTTAGGCTCAATGTTAACTTGGGACATTTGATTCAGTTCTCATCCACTTCAGTTTGCAACCAGAATCGTGGAGAGAATTAAGTCTGTGAACTGAGGCACCACTGTAATAGCTAACATTCATAGCTGGGCGTAGTGACACATGCCTGTAATCGCAGCACTGGGGAGGCTGAAGCAGGAGGACTGCTAGGAGTTTGAGGACATAGTGAGTTCAAGGCTAACCTGAACTACAAAGCAAGATCCTGCCTCAAAAAAAAAACCAACAAAAAACACTGTAATAGCTAATATTCAATAATTCAGGGTGTTTTAGGAGTGTTTGTTACAATGTTTTATTTTCTAAATATTTGAAATATTTCATAACATAAAATCTTACAGAAAGGCACTAAAATAAAGTATCTCATTCTGCTGGTACTGAATTCTCAGGTACCATTCTAAATATGTCATTTATATTAACACTTTTAATCTTCATAATAACCTTTAAAAATAGGTAATACTAAAATCCTAATTTTATATAGGGGCAAACAGAGGCCCAGAATAGATATGTGACTTGCCCAAAGTTGCACAGCAAACAGTATGGTTCTAAAGTTTGTGCTATACCACTCCTTCGCATACCTTCTCCTAGAAAACCTGAAAGTAACAGCCTGCAAACTTCATTTAGCAAAATGATTAACATTGAAATCAACAATCTGTATACTCCCAGAGAAAAAAACAGGTTTTATTTTCTTTCTACCCAGAATGAGAAGTCAAC